TGTGAGGCTAGCATGCAATCTTCTACTCTAAAGCCTGCACTCCAATCAGATGGCTGCCTGCTGGATTCTCCACCTGAGTCCACCAGTCTGTAACCTTACCCCAAGTCTGCATCACGTCTGCCTTCCTCCTGTGGATGAAGACAATAATGGTGTAGCTGACTATTGCCTTCCAACCACTACCCGTCGCAGTTCCTGCCTGTTATGTTTCATAACCTGCACCTGTTTGGATGCCTACTTGCTTGTCAGCCTATTGCATTATTCATCATTATATCATTCAATTGTTCCTATCTGCCTGGTCATGTCTGCACTGGGCTCTGCCATTTGTGCTACCAAAAGTGACATATTTCACATATTATTCGGGCCATGACCCTATCACTTCTGACACACTGCCGTGCACAACGTAATGTGAGGAGTGATTAAAGGAGCACAGATTAAGAGCCTGAGGATTCATGGTTGGGTGGAAGTGAACTTTTGAAATGCTATGTGAACAGCAGCAGAAGCAGTACCAGCAAGTGTCAGGATGGCTGTCAGGTGACAATGAGGCAGCAGCATTGACAGCAAGAATGGACTGATGTTACCTTAACTTCACCCCTTTCGCCTAAAAGGTGAATTAAGGGCAACCCAATGGTAGAATGGTTAGGATGCATACCACGTGAGAGAGAGAATATCCTGGTTTGACTCCCAGCTGGCCAGACATTTACTGCATATCATTTCTCTGCTCCCTGTCACCATATTTCCTGTCTTTTTGTGCTGTGATGGAGTGGCAAAAATGTCTGAAAAACACACACAAAAAGTTCAGTGCATGCAATGCCTTGGAGATAATTGGTCTGCATGTAGCGCTTCATACCTTAGTGGGACTCAAAGCTCTTTACAGTGTGTTTCTCTTTCATCCATTCACACACACATTCCTACAGCAATGGCGACAGAGCTGCCGTGCAAGGTGCCTGCCTGACATAGGGAGCAACTTTGGGTTCAGTTTCTTGCCCAAGGACACTTCGACTGTGGAGGGGCGAGGGATCAAAGCCCCAACCTTGCGATTGGAGGATAACCAGTCCACAGCCGCCCAGGTAGCAAGGTTGCGCAGTGGGTGGGTGGTTCAGTCTTAGTATTTTAATTTGTACGGCGCCTGTGGTTCAAGATGTTCTATTTCTGTGTTCATATTTGCTCAACATGGCCACTCATATTTCTTTTTTCAGTGGAGCCAATTCCAGTAGTAACAATGCCATTCAGTTTTCCCATAGAACACTGAATGGCATGGACTGGCATGAAACTCTCAGCTCCAACACCTGTCATATAAACTCCTATATCATTATATACCCTGTCTGATCCATACATGTGCTGAGATGTGCCAGGGCAGCGGTGGCTTGATGGTTGAGGCTCTAGATCACAAGGTTGGGGGTTCAAGCCCCAGTGCTCCCAAACTGTCAGTGTTGGGTCATTGAGCAACTGTCCTTCAGGAGCAGCTTATCATGGTTTCCTAACAAGCTGAGATATACGCAAAAAGGAACTCCACGATACTATAATGCACTTGTGACAAACAGGGCTTCTTCTTCAAGGTTGGCATCTCCATGTGGACGTCTGCACTACATATTGCACACATCCCTCTGGCCCTATCTGACCCTCACGTCCTCGTGGATAATAAACTATACCCCTGACACAAACAGCAGTTAAAAGCTACAGATTAACATGCTAAGAAACATGAATTCAGCTTATTTCTATCAGTTTTATGTTCAGCTTTTCATAGAACGAACCGATAAAAAATGGTGGCCATAATATAAATCCGAAGAAACATTACATTATCAAGGAGAGTTCCACAGTTCTTCCATAGTGTGCAATAATATTAAGAATATTGCTTCTGAAATTTGCAACCCCTCCCACCCCTTACATATAATTTGGAGAGATAATTCTCTCGTGCGTACATAGTACAGCTCAGCACTAAACTCTTCAAACAGCTGCCTTCTGTTTCCATCACAGATCACTTTGTAGTCTTGTAATTATAATGCCTGGTTTGGTTTGCAAAAGTTTACGGGGCACACATGCTGTTATCACACATTACAATGATGCAGCTAAAATAGAAAGCGCGGTGAATCGCCTGGGACAATGTGAGTCCAGTCAGCTGGGAAAGACTGCAGTCCCACCCTCAGCCGTCTGGAGGATGAAGTGAGTAGAGATAATGGATGGATGGACACCGTGAATCCACTCAGGGACCTCCTGATGGATGATTCCAATTGGTGTTTAGGGGGCAGCCCAACACTTCCAGGAATTAAATCAACAGAGTCCTTTAAATCCCTAGCTTGTCTTTCAAAGTCCACACTCCTGGTGCAGGTTGTCAGTATATATATTTGTAGTCTCCAAATCCATGTCAAGATTACATTTGACAAAGCTCCTTCAAAACCACAGACGACGTTACACATCAGGTAGTGCAGCAGTTGATTACTAAACTCAAGTGTAAATTCGGAGCAGTTAAATAATTCAATGTTATAACCATTATTCATCTCATTCAAAATTTCGTTTTATAACTGAGTGAATGAATGTTTTTGTCCTATATTTGGACTATATTTGGTGCTTTATGTTGCACTGATAAAAAAATTCCCTTCATCCGCCAAGACGATTTATTGCTTCAAAGTGGCTTGTTTCAAAAGTGTTGTTGCCTGGCAACAGACATCACACACATCCTTTGAGAAAGAAAAAGAAAAAAAAAAAAATCTTCTTGCACTGGCATACTGTATATGTGTGGTCTTCCTCAGGGTGCTTTGTCACCAATTTTGATCCATGGTGGGAGGTGTGGGAGTGTGTACTTCCAAAAGGCACTGGTTTGATGGCAGGCGTGGGGCGACACTGGCACATACAGAAGCGTGGGCACCGATAAGGATGTGAGGAAGGAAGAAAAGAGCAGCGGAGACAGAGCACAAAAGAAGACACAGAGGTGGAAGGAAGAAAAAATATGATAAGAGAAAAAAAAAATTAAATCTTCATGCTACAGAAACTGACAATAATGACCCAAGGCATGGAGGCAGCATTTCAGCATTAACAAGTAGAAACAAATGAGCATAATTAAGTTGTATAAGACAGACCTTTAGACCGAACAGGGAAGCTGCTGAATTTTTTTAAGCAGCATTCAGGTGGGAAGCAAAATTCTTTTGAGCAAATGAGGGCAGAATTTTCACACTTTCTGCACATAGAAACCAGCTGCAGGAGGAGGAATCAGAAAAGCAAATTATGAATGAGACGAAGAGGAATGAATGACATGAGGTATGGTGAAGAAACAAGCTTGGTGGGAAATCTGTTCTAGTTTTGTAGGACACTGAGGGACAAGTTTCTAGACAAAGGTGAGGCATTACTTGTTAAATCACAGCGGGAATTTGATGGTTGGGTCGTTAGGGGGCATACCAAATCAGCAGTGAGCCTGAAGAACCTTTGCTGCATATCATTTCCCTGCTCTTGTTCCTCTAAACTTCTGTATCTCTGCACTGTCACTGTCTAACAACCGCTTAAGACCCGAGTATTTGTTTGATATGCATTTTCTGAATAGAAGAATAAGAGAATTAATAAAAAGAAAAAGAAATAAAAAATATATAGAAAATAAAAAATATATTTTAAAAAATTCTATAAATATATTTTTTTAAATAAATAAAAAATGTACAAAATAAAACTAAAAATTAAATAACAATAGCAAAATAATAATAATCAAATAATTTTTAAAAATAAAAAAATAAGAGGATAAAGGTGAAAACGCCAAAAAAGAGAAAAAATACTAACAGTAATTACACGCAGTTTAGCGTAGAAAATCACTGAACAGCAAAAGTTATTCATTAGAGGAGAAAATAGTTGCGTAATTGCATGCTGTGTTTTTTTCCATTAATAGTGTATGTTGTATCAACTCATACAATCCCACCTTCTGAACGTGTACAAGGGTTTTAAAAGATTTACAGCAAAGACACCACAATTCTAGTGAAGAACTATTCAAACATAATGACCGCATCCTTAACAAAGAGAAACATGCTTTACTATCAGTCACCGTACTTCACTGAGCAACCACTCTGCTGTGTTGCATTTAAGTGTGTTGTTGTTATGCATTGGTACTTGTGCAAACACACTGGGGTAATTTAATGCATAGTCACACACACTTATTCCCCTTGCATGGGCATGTTGTGTTAGAACATTAACTCAGATTGTAAAGGTGGTGGGGGACAGGTGGGCTCCCAAACAAAACCAGGTGATTCCTGCATTCAAGCGTACCAGGACAAGAATTAGATATGGACACACGTGAGAATTAAGCATCTCCTGAGTTACCAGGAGGCCCACTTCTCCTCTATAATACAGTTTAACCCTTTCTCTGACATGTCTTGTACCCCTCTATCTACTCAAGATAGAAACAAATACCCTCAGGTTGTTTGCTGTTCTGCTAAAACAGCAAACTACACAACCACAACATGTTAAAGCAACAGAAGATTACTGGGGTTAGTCACTGAAATGGATTCAAATCGTAATCCCTGACAGTACTTATTACTGAAAAAAGCAATCACATAATTATAGGATGTTCATAAGCTAAGCATAAGTGCTCACTGTTTAGGTACTACAAGCTCTTGTTCTATTACTGTAAGACTAAAGATATGTTTAGACCGAACACAAAGATGATTCTGGTGCTGCGGCACTGCATACTAAGGAAATGAAAAGGAAAAGTTGTTTTTGGTAGAGTGAGTTAACGTTGTTCCTTAAAGAGTTAAAGTCTTAATTCTGGTAAATTAACAGAAACACAACAGATCCACGATTATACAGTCCTACCAACTGAAAGAATTTAGGCTGAACAATAAAAAAACAACAATGAAGAACTGCATTCTGTTGTCTTCACCTCATTTTTTGCCATATTGGAAGTAATGATCCAAAAGTGTCATATTCTTATTCCTCTGCTGAATTAATCAAACTTAATCTGGATTAAAGAATTTTTTTTTAAAAACGACTAAAACATAGGAGCATATAGGAGGAAACGTTTGCTTTACCTGTGGCTGCGGTACACATTTAGCAGAACGATGACGAAGCCCAGAGCGTAACAGGCCAGGTATGGACTGCCGAAGAGCCTGGAGAGGCCCCGCGTGCGATGCTCCCATCTCGCCACCTGATAAATGACACCAAGAGCAGAGGTCATGACATGATGGCCGTGCCTTCATAAAGTTCTTTAAACATCATAATATGGACTGTAGCCTAAAGTCAGATTTGAACAGTTGCTTAAAAGATAAACCTGCATTCATTGAGTTGTGTGGCAGTAGTGTATTAAACTGTAAAAACAACACGTTATCGTCTTAATAAATATAGAAAGTATATCTGATAGTGGCCTATTTACAAACCCAGCAGATATGGAGTAACATCAGAACTTACTGGTGCTACTTAATCTTATGGATGTGAGTCCAATTCTACCTTTAGCTCTGGTTTGGTCTCCACCAACTCCTGAAGGAAACATGAGCTCCTTCAACAGTTAAATGGTTCGTATGCTCATCAACTGATTGTTAACATCATAAATCTTTGACTAAAAACAAAGAAACCGATGAGAGCAGTGATAATAGTAATGTTGCACACCATAATACCAAAAGAGTGGGCTGAAAGATGACGTTCTTCAATTATTACCTTGATGTTTCTTTATGTTCACTCTTTTCAAAAAGGTACAAAGACCTAGTTGGCCATTTTTTTCCCTGCAGAAATTACTGCTTACTTTCATTCACTTTCAAAGAAAATGCTACTTTGATGCTTTGATTAAAAGCGCTCTACTCATTAATTCACACCTTGGCCTCTGGATGGTCGTAGATTTTTCATTTGTGTGGATGTTATTTTCTCATAATGGCAGAGGAATGTGTGACTCAGGCATTCATTTCCGTTTCTTTTTCACCATTTGAGCGTAACAGAAACAATGTATTCTAACATTTCATGGCATCTTGAAAGCTATCACAGCACTCTTGCCTCCTGCCACTGAAGCCTTTTATCTCCTCCAGCAAGCCACACTTTAGCTTTTAGAGAAGAAAAAGTAATATTTCATGTAGTGGCTGGTGTGTTCATGCCTCAGTTAAAACATTGGTTTATTATCAATGTTGGAACCATTATTGAGAGATCGAGTGGAACAGAAACAACAAAAAAAGATGCTTGATTATAAGTTTGGCAATATATCGGACTAATGTATGAGACAAGATGATTACTGATCATTTTTAATGGCCCGGTCAATCAAATTTGAGTTAGAATTTAACCAGCTCATTGATCAAGGTAACACAGGTAATAGTTTAGGTGTTACCACGAGAATGTACACAAAAAAGTGAATTTGCACCAATATAAAAATAAGGATTTCGCTGATACACAATACCTGCATGAAGGCAAAACCTCCACACCGCTCTGACGTTACAGTTCAGAGTGGCTCCGGGTTTCTCTGAACAGTGTCGATTATGACTTTTCATTGTTATTGCATCTACAGTACTTAAGTGCAACTATTAAACTTTCTATTGAGCATTTTTTTATTTCATTGCTGTTGATGATGTATCGATTGCCGGAACATATCACTAACGCGTTATCACTCAGGCCCTTTTATTATGTTTTGGCAAATATACTTCATAAAAAGTCCTGTTGCTTTCCCTCCTAGTCATAGTGTTGAGACAACGGTGTTTTTAAATCACTTTTAAAACTGAACAAAAACTCTGATTCTGATCATTCTGAGCCAAGATGTTTATATTTGCCGATGATTTCTAAAAACATTTAAGGTTACGGTTTGTGCACTTTCATCCTCAATTATTAACGATTTAAGATTCTGGAGTTTTATTTGTCACATGCTTCATACAGTAAGGGCAGTGAAATGCCATAAGAACAAGACATCCATCCATTATCTATCCTCCGGTTAATCCTCATTAGGGTCACAGGGGGGGCTGGAGTCTATCCCAGCTGACTCAGGGTGAAGGCAGGGGACACCCTGGACAGGTCACCAGTCTATCACAGGGCTACACTTAGAGACAGACAACCAAGCACACTCACATTCACACCTGCAGACAATTTAGAATCACCAATTAACCTCAACATGTTTTTGGACTGTGTGGGATGAGAACCCAGAGAGAACCCACGCTGCATGGAGAGAACATGCAAACTCCACGCAGAAAGATCCCGAGTGTTCTCAACGGGACACAAACCGCGACCTTCTAGCTGCGAGGCAACGATGCTAACCACTGATCCATCCTGCAGCCCCAAGAACAAGACATGATTAAAAAAATATATATATATTAAAATTTAAAAAACGCTCCTTAAAAATAGAAACGTTTTAAAAAATAATGATGAATAAAGAGATTGTAAACTTTAGTGTACATTATGTAAGAGTTGCAGTCATGTGTGCATGCATGCGTGTGTGTGTGTGTGTGTGTGTGTGTGTGCTGCAGCTGAGAGATGAGGTGCTATGATTTGTATTGAGATGTGAGGTCAGAGTTCACATTCCTGACAATATGAGGGAAGAAGCTCTTCCTGACTCTGTGTTTGCTCTGATGTAGTGGAGGCGCCACTCAGACAATCCGCTACTAATAATCCAGACTCCACATTAGTGACACATGCTGTTCTGCCTCGAGGAAATTATCTGTTCATATTGGGTGTCTTTGTTGCTGTTTTTGTGTTGTTGTTTTTTTTTTTAACACCCCAAGGCAGTTGTATTCCCCGGCTGGCACTCTTTCCATGTTGCACCCTGCAAATCCCTCGACGACTGACAGCCCAAGATCTTATCTAAGTGGTCACAGGTGCATTTTCCAAAACGCACCTCCCACCTAAAATAGAAACTATTAAACGTCTACTGGTTATGTAACATGAAAAAGCATTTGACCCGTCTGTCGACGTGGTAAACCTGCGTGTGGCGCTCCTGACTGCAAGACTTGTTTATGAAACAACTGACAAACTTCAGACTTGCTGACTGACGGTGGGCTGAGGAAGTGCGTAGATGACTGTAAAACAGCACACAAATGTTGCCATGACAACACCTGTTTCTACGTTCACTCGAGGGAAAAGGAAAAAAACAAACAGAAGGAACATGAAGAAAAGTGAGAAGAAACAAACTTTACATAGCAGGAAAAAAAGAAACCCAATGCTCTAGCAAGTGCAGAAGTACGACTTTCTCAAGTGGCGTTTTTACTGTGTTGATGCTGAAGAGATAAACTCAAAAAGCTCAGTTTAGAACAACTAACTAAAGCATTGTCTTCAACTTCTTCTGCACAGCTGCCAGTAGCCTCTTTTGCAATGTTTCTTTCTCCCTTTCATCCTCCTTCGTACTAAGAAAATGCTGCTGTTGTGCAATTAAGGCCCACCCGTTGAAACCCTTCTTTGACTCAGGCTTCCAGTTACATCCACGCGTTAATTACATCACAATATTCTCCTGAGGACATTTGGACCCAACAAACTAGAAAAAGGCAAAACAATAGCAGTGTAGGAAATAATTCATAATTAGCTTTTCAGGTAACAGGTTAATGAAAGCAGTGATGATGTAATACATTTGAATGGTTTAAATGGGAGAATGTAATATAACAGGTGCACACCTCAACTTCACTTTTTGGTAATTCATATACTGCTTCTTATAGAGGCACTGATTAAACGCCAGCCTGAACAGCTCAGGTAGAAGTGTAGAGGTACCTAACTGGAGGTAATATGAAGGAGAATGCAGACAAATTTGGATTTCAACTTCGGTTCTGTAGTTCTGATTAGAATTAGTTTAAAAAAAAAAGACAAATGTAGCCAAAATTAGATGATTTATCATAGCGTGAAAGTGTAAAAATTGAACTTTCAGATGGTTCTTGAACTAATCATGTGTGACATACAGTTCTGTTGGGGAAATTCTAAGGTTAAAATCATGTTATTGCATCAAAATCACTACATTTATAGTCTCATTTATAGAAATTTGGCAAATCCTGTATAAAAAACACAGCCAAAAAATAAATCTGCGCAACTGTGAAGCCATGTCTGACTAAACTGTGAGCAACAGCCACATGACAGACATTCAGAGACTATTCGGCTGAACCACACAATGTGCTTACACAAAGCAGATAGGAGACTAGAAAATAAAATGTTAGTACCAACAGTTAAATATCTATAGTATGCAGAGCCATTGGTAACACCTGTGGGAAAATATTGTGGATTTCAAGTTTTTCCAATTTTTACAAAAAGAAACTCAACTTTCGCTTTCCTACTATTTTATGATGTATGGCACTTTGACTGGAACAGAAATTGCTTCTTGAGTTCCCACTACATCTACTCAGGGTTGTGTAGCTTCTATAGGGGCGCAGGACTTCATATTGCAGTGAAGAATGAGCCCACATTGAGTACAAATGTGACAGAAGCAAAAGAAAAAACTGTGGTTGTACCTAAGTCGGAGATAATCACCCTCCCACAAAAGTAAATTTCACATTGTTAGCGTGAGCCCGGGTACGTCTCTCCTCGACATCAATTGTCATACATGAATCACTGCCTTCACTATCTCCAGAGCTGCTGAGAACCACATGCGAAAGTAATAGCAGCCTGGAACCACAAGGACTGAGTCATGTCAAAAAGAAGAGGAGATACATGGATTCACATCTATGATATGTAACCGTTCAAGTACCCTCAACAAAGCCGGCGCCTCCGCTCAAAGTGAAAAAGAGAAAAGAACAACAAAGATAAGAGACGGCAGAGAAATTGCTTTCAATTTAAAGGACATATTGCAGCCGATGACAATGACACCGATACTTTGCTGAGCTCCGGAGTGACTCTGTGTGAAGTTGAACTTGGACACTGAGCATTGCGAAACCGCGCAATACGGTCACGCAACATATAGCAAATGTTAAAAATGTTACAACAGGCAGAGTGATTACAGCACAGCCAGCCAATCAGAACACAACGTACAGATGATTCATGTTACAATATAGGGATGATTTTGCACTGAAAGGACCATTAAGAAGTGCATGTGATGGATTCGCCTTTTGGATGTATAACAGAAGGAACACTGAATACATATATGCAGTGAATACATCATGGGGGGTTGGACACAGTAGGGGGTCAATGATGAGAAAAATTTCATTGTGAGTGTTTCACTTGCATTTGGGACTAAATATAGATACGTGTGATTTTTGGCGCATGTGTGTA